TCCCCGGTTCTTCGTTCGCGAAGAGACTGGCCATTACTGGCAGGAGCAAGGCTGTAACTCGGCTCTGTTCTCACTGTAGTCAGGACACACGACTGGGGCTGGATCTCTGCTGGGCTGTTTTTGGGACAGGAGTCTGAGCTGATGCTGAGCAGTGTGTGTATTCTGTAGGTGACATTCCCATACAACCACGTAGTAATCTAAATTGTTTGTTTCAATATGTATAACACAATGATTCACAGAGTCTGATGTCCTCTTTAAGGTGTGTGGGGTTTCTGAGTGCAGGCTGCTGGACAGAATGAGCAGCAGAAGGAAAAGATGCCTGCTTTCATATTGACATAGCAACGAGTTCTACTTTTTTACCACGTGTTGCAAGCACACAGCTCAATAGTATGTTTTGAACTTTATCTTTTCGTAGGATCGAAAAAAGCTGTTTATTCCCACCAGTGTCATTTGCTTAGGCATCCTAACACATGCAAAAGCAGTATGGGTCACCTTTTAGATAAGAGAAAAATAACATTCTTTCCAAAATGTTAATGGATGATTTTGTTTCTTTGTTTTAAATACAGCTCAGAGGGAAGAAATGAAACTAAAACTTCTGCATCTCCAGACTAGATCTTTCCATGCTTTAACAACAACACGTCAATGCCAAACCTTTAACAAAACTGGATGTCTGCTATTAAAGCTGGATAACGAAGTTGACAGAACAGCTCAGAGAACAGCAAAGTCTTGGAATTTTTATGCTCTGAAAACTGCATTCCCTTGGTTGACAAGTCGATGTGTGCAAGTCAAGAATTTGCGATTGCTCCGAGGATATGTATCCACTTTGGGAAGAAGTATTTATTATCAGGGCGGGGAGGAGTTTTTTCCCTCCTGGAGACGCTTGGGTGCAATGATGACACAAAACTACAGGCTCAATACAGAGCATATCAAAAAGCTCAGGAACACGCCATCAAGATTTTACGGAGTTGTATCAGCTGGTAAAATTATTCCAAAACACAATAACCTGCCAGTTAAGAGGCCACCAAAGGCACCGAGGACCAAGCAGCCATCCAGAACGAACCTGCCTCTCTCAGACATGAAGGTAATGCTTAACATTTACAGTCTATTTGACATTAAGGAAATGCATCATTTTAATGTGTGTTCAGATTAAGGTTTAGGTTAACATTTTAATGAAATTAATATATTTATTTGGTGAGAAGGATTTAATTATTTATCCTAGTATGGGAGCTCTGCAAACAGAAGCAAGCTTGATAGAAATTAGTGTGTCTCGTATTCTGAAGATAAAATGGAAGTTTACTAACAATGCGTAAACAGAAGTGGAAGATAAGTGGAAAGGTGAAGTCCATTAAAAACAGTTTTGACCAGTGCTCTCATATCCCATTTAATATTGAGAAACAAAGTCGAGCTATCAGAACAATTCCCTTCATATCCTTGCTTGTCCACATCTACCCAGTTTTAAGGGTTCACTCAAACAGAAATAAAGGTGAAAGTAAAAAGTATAGGGTTTGTATTCAGACTGAGTTTCAGATGGGAAATGGATGTGCAAATGTAGCCTGTGTTACTTGAGAAAGATTATTCCACGTGTAGAAATAGCACCTTAGTTTGCAGACTTCTAGGTCTGTTGCAGAGGAACTGCAACAACAAAGTGATTTAGATAAAGTGAGATACAATGAAGTGGAACAGTACATACTTGTAGCTGTATCTCCTTAAGATAGTTCTTAAGGCAGGCCGTAAGTATGTTTGTATATAGGATTTCCGTGGTGACTCCTGGTGTCAGAAGTGTTACTCTTCTCAAGCTACAGCAACAACTGAGTTCCAGGGTATTGTTAGTAATATAGTATGATAATGAGACTGAAATAAGCATTGTGCCTTCAGAAATAGTTTACACATTGCAAAATATGTCTGTTACATGATCTACTGAATGTGAGCACAGAGAAGTTTTAATGTTTGCCTTATTATCTAAGCTTCTGCCTAGTATTTTGTGTGATAAGCAGGAATGTGCCTTTATTGTAAGTCATATAGTTATATAGTCAATTTAGTTCCCACTCATATTTCCATGTTGCTTTGAAAGAGGAAAGTGAAGAATATTAGTCCTGAAATACCATGTAATGTTTCCAGCTTTTTAGTCCTGCTATAACATTACATTCAGAGGTTGATTCTTTTTGGTTTTGGGTGAAGTGACAACATTTTTGAGGCTTTTAAATGACAGCATAGAATGCAGTTTGACAGAGTGCCAACTTTCTTTGGCATTTTCATATTTATGTGTAAGTAACATGCAGTACTATATTTACTTTCTTCTGTTGTGAAGAAATGGAGAAAATACGTCCTGATATACTGAAATAATAATATTATTTCTGAGGAAGTTTCCACATGGCAAAATGCTGGGCCAGAAATCACATAAACTCAGACGTAGCAGAAACATTTGCTGTTTTTTATTAAATCCCAGTTGGGTTTGTCAGAAATATATCCTGTCTGCAGGGGTACAGACAGCTGTCATGTTGACTGCAGGCTGATGGTATTTTGGAATCAGGATACCTGTTTGTGTAATTATTTATACCTACGTATTATAGAGAAATAACTTAGAGATATGGCTGATTTCTACGAGATTAATAGAAGTAGCAGAAATGGGGAATCTTTGAAGGTTTTTTTTCAGCATGCCATCTGTTTTTTCTAAATCCTTGTGTCACAAAAAAAAAGCTGATCTTGCCTTTTGTGCACGCTTGAAGGCAGCCAGGAGCCCTCTAGTATTGCAGGCCCTATTGCCAGGGCAGTTGCCTGGGGGCATCTTCTCCTTCCCAGCCTGCCTCTGGAGACAGTAGTTGTAGGCCCACTCCCTGGGTTCTCTGTCAGAGGAACCCCAGGGATCCCTGGTGTTTTCTGTCTGGGAGGGCCTGACAGCTGACACTTTTTTTTTGCAGAGAATGATGTCCTTCCCACCCCTCCCCAGCACTGGTCTTCGTGTGTTTTTACAGGCAGAGTGCTGAGTACCAGGAGTGATAAATTGTTGTATAACCAGTTTTTCAGGATAGATGGAGGAGTTATTTGAAAGCAGTTAACTGGTTTAGTCAGTCCATCAATGAGCAGTACCACTACTTAGTTAATCTGTAAGGTCTGATGGCAGGAAAAGCCTCTGAGCTAATTTTTAATGCTATAGCCATATAGCGTAGAAATAGCTTGAAATTCAGGCAAAGATGTAATACTTACTACACTTTAGATAAAGACTGATTCCTATGGCAATACAAGGACTAAAGTTCATCCTACAGTTTGGTTTTTTTCTTAAAAGTTTTTGCATGCTTAAAGTGGAAGGGATGGACTAAGGTGAGTTAGGATTCCATGAGCCTGTACAGTTCTTAGGGGCATGATGATACAGAACGTAAGTTGTCAAGATACTTAGCTGTCCTTAGGAGCAGCCGTCCTGTGTGGTGCTCTGAGTAGAATCTTAGTAATGCCCCAGCTGTAGGCAGAAAGGAGGAGGGTGGTGAGGAGCTGGAGTCTTTCTAGCACCAGTATAGGTGCTGTATTCTGGGGAGGGTTAAATTTGCAGGTGAAAGTGATGTAGCAGAAAGCATGGCATAAAGGTTGATTAGCCAGTTAACATTTCAATTTAGGATTAGCTCAGTCACTGATTAGAGTAGATTTTTTTGCTATATCTCACCAACAGTAAATGGGAATTTAGACATTCGAAGCACCTGTAGACACATATATTAGCTGTCTTAATTTCGCATTATATCCAATCCAAATGTTCTCTATCAAACAAGATTTTAATAGAAAATGTAAGTGAAACAGTTCATTGTAACAAAAAACCCAAACCAACAAAACCAAACACAAAAAACCCCAAGCAAACTATTTCATATCCAAAATGCTATTTCAGGCATATAGCTTAATTTCTGGTTCTAACTAAATGTGAAATCTCTGCATTGGAACTAAAATTGCAGCAGTAAGACAGAAAGTTGATTCTGTAGTGCATTTGCCTTGAAATGAAGAATAGCACAAGTAATAAACTATGGGAAGCATAGAGAAGGACAGATTTTCAGATTATATGCTAACTAGAAGATGAGATTTGCTTCCTTAGCTCTTGACAGAAGAGTTTCGTGGCAGAGTATGTGTACTTCTGATCGTCAGAGCTTTCTGGAAGAATCTTCAGAGTCAGATACATAATTGGTATTGGTAATTTAGATATTGAGAATGGGTTTATACAGATGAAATTGTGATAATGCAACTTGATGCTGCAAGGGAACTGAAAATGCAGTTCTTTTCCACTGTTAACTTAGCCTTATAGCACAGTTGTGGGAATATGCCTACAAAATTGCTCTCTGAATATTGTTATTACTTTTAAAGCTTATTTTCTGTTAGTGATTGCTGAACTAAGGTGCAACTAAGTAAAGCTTTGGGTGTGATAACAGAACGTTGACATTGAAAAGAAGATCTCATGTGTGGTTGTGAATCTGATGACTGGTGATGGAGCCCCTGCAGGGAGCAGAACACCTCTGTAAGCTTTGCTGTTTGTGTATGAGTGATGCAAGAATGTAATTTGGATTTTAAGTTGAAGTGTATTGTGGGTCTAAATGCCTGCAGATGAGTACAGTTCTTTTGTTCATTTGTTGTTAATTACAACCCCATTTGTATTAGTTACAAAAAGCTGAGAAGTGACTGATCCATAATGAGACATTACTTTCTGGACACCTTCCACTACATTGTACTAAAAAACATTATTGCAGGACATAAATTGTATCAGAACAAAGAAATGCACTTAAATAATAGAATTTGCAAATCAGGTTAATGTTACTTGTTTGATTAATCAAGAAAATCTTTATGCAGATGATTTTCTGATTTCTTTGCCATGCATGATTCAAGTCACTTTGCAAGTCAGCATCTTTTTTCCAGTTATTTGTTTGAATATGGCATTTAAAAAGTTATTTAAGATTGTGCCATATTGAGACAAACTCTGGCTGTCATGTACTGTTCAGCTGTGGTGTCAGTTGAGAGCATGTTGTTAGTGCAGGATTCAGCTCAGGGCAGGAGGAGGGACACAACAAAGGAGCAGCCCCTACAACTGGCCTGGAAGATCAGTGACTTTCTGTAATGTAGTGGCTCATACCCTGGGAGCATCTGAACAGGGAGCTTGGTGTGTGGTGGAACGTGTTTGTGCTTGGAACGAGTTTGTGCCTGATAAGCAGATTGGGATAGTCGATTTCCATTTATCTTAAAAACACGGATGTTAAAACTGGTATTGGGGGTGTCTCGCCTCTGGTTTCAGTGGTCAGCCAAGTATGTCATAAGCCATGGGATGGAAGAGCAGTAGCAAGTGCAGCTCTACTGTTAAAGCATTTGATTGGCATTTAGGGAAGAAGAGTTCTCTTTGTGGCTCTGTCACAAAGATTTTTGGTGCGACTTAAACTCATGTCACCTGGATTCTTCTCAGTGTATGATTTGCTTTCTCACTTAACAAGGAGCAAGTGATCTTGTTAGTATTTGTACACCAGGGGGACAGCATGGCAATGATACCTTGGAAAATTGTCACTGAATAAATTTGAGGCAAACAGTTGTCTTATTAACATCTTGCTTCAGCCTTACTCTAACTCAATTCTTTCTTCCTTTGGCACAGAATCTGATGCAGTGCACAGCCTTTGCAACAGCAGATGAATATCATCTTGGTAATCTGTGTCATGACCTGACTTCACATGGATATATTGAAATAACAAGTTTGCCTAGAGGTAGATCTTTGAAACATACTAAAAGCAATGTTATACCTTGGGAAATAAAATATGGGTGAGGTATACAATATTAATAATTTTATGTATTCTTGTTCTGGTAATACTGTGGAATATATCATACTGCCTGTAAAAATACTGCTTTGATTAAAGATTCCATGTGCCTAAGAATCCTCACAACTAAGCCTTTCAGAATAGCAATATGACCAATATTCGCTGTTACCCTCTGATAATTTTTCCCAACATTACAATTACACTATAAGTACTGAAAAATTACATGCATGCATGAGAAATAACTTTGGAAATTTACTGATACAGAGCATTTCTATAGAAATTCACTAATTGAGAAAATTCTGAATGTTTTAATTAATCTTTTAGTAGTGAGCTAGTGCAGTGCTTCAGCTGTCAAACCAATTTTGTAATTTGAAGTGCTGCATCTTCGTTCCATATTTACATTTTTATTAATGTAAATCACTGAAGGTCAGAGAGGAAGGCATGCAAGAGAGAATCTTGCTGACTAAGTGAAATGAAAAAGATACACACATAAATGCTTAACTCTAGTAAAGAGAATGCTGTTGATAGGGGGTTTTTATTGGGCTGAGTATATCATAGCAAACGTTGAATGCTTCACTTGGGTAGGCTTCAGCAAAATAATTGGATCTGGTTTCCATATAAAGTATCTCTGAAGACTTGGGAAAGTATGGCTTGGAAATAGCCAAAGTATACTACAAGAGAAAAACAAATGGAGCTTTTTATAGCTTAAGGAACCTTATGCCCTGGAACAGCTGTGATTTTCATGTGTTGGCAGTAGAATGCCTTTTTTTTCCCTTTGAAAGGATGGATTATATGAAGCTAAGAGAAGGACAGTTTATGGGCATTTCAGTAGGGGTTGTCAAATACCTGTCTGCCTCCCAAACAATAATCTAAATGCAATAATACTCCAGTGAGTCTCGTTCAAACACAAGATTCACTAGTGATTGGTTCAGAACGATGAATGGGAAAGACAAGACTTGAATATAGGCTTCATGTACATTTTAGTTTCTTTGTATTAAGATCAACCCTGGTTTCACAGCTTTGGGGTAGAAACTTTGTACAACGCCCAGCATAACTGAATTAAAAGTTACTGTTGATGGTATTTTGCCCTGGAGTGTGACTTTTGCCAGTTCTTTCATTTCTTGATGGTGTTTTTGACTCCTCATAATAAGTACTCTTAATCAAAGGTTTGGAGGAAGTAATGATGAAAGTATGTTAGATTGTGCCAGCAGATCTGAAGTGTTGTGATTGTTGGCGTGTGCATGTAGCATTTTGGTTACCAAGCCAGACACTGAATTTTAGAAAAGAAAAAAATATTAGCACATAGAACTCCAAATCAGCAATTCTTGTGTGGATTTTTTACTTTGTAGTGTTCTTCGTAAGCATTATGCTCGGTTTTGACCTCTTTAAAGACATTTTAGAGGCAGATCCTGTACCTTCACCTAAAGCGGACCAAATTCTCTTCAATTGTGTATGTTTTGGCTGTAGTGGATAAATAAAGATACAGATCGTATTTTAAAATGCAAATGAGAAAAGGCAGGCAAATGTTGCTTCCACGGTGACATCTAAATCTTGCTCTAGTGATTCATCCAATGACATGTTTCTGAACTGGAATAGCAAGTGGAAGAAAAGTCTTTAAAAAGGGCTCGCATCAACCCTGTGGTCTCAATTCAGGTATTAGAAAAAATATCTCTGATACTTGGTCACTGTGCTGCCTCAGTTTACCTGGCCTCTGTGGCTTGGGTAGTAAAGCAGAAGGTGGGGTTTGTACACAGGCAGAATTTGATACCTTGTCACTTGACCTGGGATCTTCTTGCAAATGGGTTTAACTTTTTAAGGCTTAGGTGTTAGGCCCTGCAAAATCTTTGCAGAGTCTTGCTTTATTATAGAAGTGAGGGGGTTTTCTGGTCTAGCTTCCACTAGTCCTGCAACAAAATGAGTCATGCTGGAAAGTAAACATTTTTGTTTGAAACCACATCAGGACTTCTAAAACTTTATCTATATTAGCAAGTACTGCAGTGGAGAAGACTTGTAGAAGAAGAAAAACCAGAAATCTTGTTTTGAGAACCCAGAATCCACATTTTTTAAGTTTGGAGGCACTCTACTTGCATTAGCTCTAGTCTGGTCCTTCGTAACAAATGCCTTATTAGTGGCTGGAATACTACAGGGGCATTTTTTGGAGCTCCTCTTTTTGTTTAATTAAATGCAAGAAATCCTGCATTTTGTATACTATTCTGCAATGCACATTAGAAGTGCGGTAAAGGAGGGTGGGTGGAAGATTTGTTTCAAAAGCACGTTTCTGATCTGAAGGGAAATGCAGATGCACACTCTTCTGTCTTGGGGATATGCTCTTTCAAGTTTCTCACTGGCAAAGCAAAGCCAGCACAATTTGAGTACAGATTAGTCCCTTAGTGTGTAGAGAAGAGAAAGATCTTCTGGGCAAGAAGATTTGAATAGTAATTTCTCTGCAGCTGTGGGCAGCTTCCATAGTTCTCTCACGTTGCACGTCCACTTCTGTATTCTGTTCCTGGTTATTTACTATGCCTGCATCCGTTTTCTCCTAAGTCTTTTGTCCTTTGAAGGTGTTACATTTCATTAACTGAACATTCCAGTGAAGTTCACAATAAAGGCTGGGTCTATCTAGAGTGTGACACTTCAGAGATGCAGTGTAGTTTGATATGGTAGTTGTTTCTTGGCAAGCATTTCCATCAGAAAAATAAAAAGAGACTGACTGATGTGTCAGTATGTAATTGTTGAATTATATGCTATCAAATTTAGAAGTTTGACTAATTGTCCATTTTTTTCACTTATTTCAAACCAGATGCTGCAAATGTTTTGGTAGTCAGTACCGAGAAATCTGCAAAAGAAGATGATCCTGGCATGATTTTTTTCTTCAGGTAAACTAGGAATTGTGTTCAAACCATTGTGTTATTAATAGTAGTGGTATGAAGGAAGTAGTGCAGCTTGCTAGATGAAACTCAAGGAATAACTCTCCAGTCAGAATGATTTTTTAAAAAAGAAATCAAATTATTTAAAAGGTTAAAAAATACCTTCTCATGTTTTTTCATAGAAGTATGGTTAAAAAGCAACTATTACATAGTTTCTGTGAAGATGGTATTAAGTTCCTTGATTCACAATGACAGAAATTGCCACAGTACAGTTTGATTATTGCATTAAAATGCATTTAAAACAGTATGATTACAGCTCAGTTTTTCCTTAAATTCACAGGGAAGGGGCTGTTGTGTTTTGGAATGTGGAAGAGAAAAGTGTAAGTAAAGCAAAACTGTTTGTTAAAACTGCATAAGCAGGTGTTTAGTCAGTCCCACAAAGCTCTGCATGCTTGGGGTTTGTTTGGGAGCTTGAATCTTTCCATGAACTAAAAAACCTCATTGATACTTCTCATGAGTGCAGGTTCCTGCCTGCTGCTGCCCTCAAGTGTGTGGGTTGCTGATATGCCCACCTTTGAAACTCATCTACTTAAGGCAAAAAATCTAAAACCTTCATCTAGTGAGACTGACAAAAAATTCTTGCAGCTCTATATCCTGAAAAAGAAGATCAGAAAAATCAACCTGTGAAAGGCACTAATGTAACAGAACACGTGTTAAAAGAAAAGGATCATTCTACTCTGTTGCGTTTTAAGTCAAAATTATTACTTATTTTTGTATAGCTTTGAAAATGAAAAAAAAAAGTTGTAAGCAACTCTTTAATACTGTTCTGTGTTTCTACCAGTTAGCAATTAACCTGAAGAAAGTTTTTTATGTGTTGGTACAATTGTTAAATATGTTGATATTGAACTGACATATCCTTTGTGATAATATGGTGATATTTGCTGACCAAAAAGGGTATGCCAGAGGCATGTGTATTTTAATGACTATTTTTATAGAAATCTAATATTTTTAATGCATTTTTATTATTGTCAAGTACTGGATTCTAGATACAAAAAGTATTGATTTTATCTGTAGGCGGAGTATGTGAAATTAAATGGTGTATTAAACAGATGATACTGAGATGCACAGAAGTTCACAGGCGTATTTTCATTACAGTAAATGAAAATACATAGCAGTTGTTTCCAGACATGAACAATTTCTGGATTCAGGTTCACTTTTTCTGTCTCAGACCTGAAATGTTCCTGATTTCCTGTCTGTTTTAGGGGGTGTCAGTATATCAGATGTCCCACAAAAAGATACTAGTTCTCCTTTCAAACCTTGCCTGTAGCACACTTAGGATGCTGTGGTTGTAACGACACTACTGATTCCCAGGTATTACTGAAGACTAGCTGACTTAACTCATGATTACCTTTGAGTTGGACTTCTCAGCCCACTGGAGTGCTCTGAAAACTCTCATTTTGTTTTACATGCATGAGAACCTTTGAAAATTTGATACCGTGTTCTACTTGTCAGGACTAGTAACTGTAGTTGGTCCCGTGCTAGCTTTAATTTTTATGCTTACTGAAGTCATAGTCAAAGTTTTAACTGCCAAACAACTTGCTCAAATAGAGGAAGTAATTTTATGCACATGATTTAATGAAATGAAAGGAAAAAAACCCCAAACTGGTCTGTGGAACAGAAACTGAAAGTAATTCAGTAAAACAAAGTGCAGAATATTATTGTGAATGGACAAAATGGCTTTTCAAAGTACTCCAGAATCACTAGTAGGAGAAGAGAAACTATTTGAAACTAACAAATACTTACGAGGAGAGGTAATAAATACAGACTAATCACAGAAAGAAATTTAAAATATAAAATACCATTTTCAAATACCTGAATAGGAAGGTTGTACAACAGCTTCTCTACCAAAATAGCAAGCAAAAAGCAAAACCAGCTTTGAGGTTTTTTTAAAAGGAAATTGTATGACGACCTAAGCGCCCATAATAGCAAGAGCTTAAATCTAACAAATCAAGAACGTATCTTCTAATTAATTTTACTGTCGTAGCTAGTCCCTTCAATAAAATTAGACTGATCCAGAAGCTGTGTGGAGTTTGCTTTGCTGAACTGTCCCTGGACACAGCTTAGCTGGTTGGCTGAGGTGACTGGCCTAAGAGCAGACACTTCCTTGCTTAAGAAAAATGAACATAAGTTTTCATGCCTTTTTTTTACCACAAGACTTTAATTATATAGTGAGTACTAGTTATGCTAATATTAAATTGAAGATTATGACACAAGCATTTGTAGCAGTGGGGTTGGGGTTTTTATTCGGTGAAAAGTGTTACTGTGTCTTACATAGATAGTATCACTAAAATCCTTGAAAGCAATGAAGAAAGCTAGCTCTGCATAGAATATCCCTCTTGCAGGTGATCCAAAAGATTATTTTACAGTACTGAACCTGGAGATTAAGATTCATGAAAAATTTTCTAGTGTACAGTTTTGTGCTGAAAGGTTGACTATTATCTTTTATTTTGAAGAAGAGTGTTTCTTAAGTATGACTTAGCAGGAGATGGAACTCTTTAAAAGAATTTAGCCATCAAAAGTGTACTGTGGTTTTGTGGTTTGGGTTTTTTATTAGCTGTTGTGTAGCTAAATGCCTTTTAAAAACTTGTAGGTAAGCGCTCTTTTTAGTTCAAAATTTGTTCTAATTGCAGATGATTTGTATGAGGGGAGCCTTGTAGCACATTAAAAGGAACAAGGATGAGAGATCCTAAGTCAGATGTCAGAGGAGAAAGTTTTGTGAGAGAAAAGGCTTCTTTCTTCCTGCATCAGGTTTTAGTGTGCTGGAGAATAAGAGAGCAGTGAGATTACTTCTGTGAGTAAAATTGCACATTTAACTGTTTACAAGGTTGAATGTGGCAGCTGAATCAATTTTTCCAGTTTTCTGTAGTGTTAAAGGACTTCTGTAATACCACTGAACCTCTGGTAGCTGAAACAAAACTACTGATTTCAGCAGCAACCAAAAAAAAAATTGTTGATTTAGCAGCAAACTAGTAATTTAATCTGAAGCAACCACCTGATGTACTTATCCTAAAGATTTTCACCCCACACTCAGACATCTGCCAAAGTCTTGTACAGTTCATTGTTATAATACTGGATACATCTGCATTGTCCTTACTGCTACTGTGGTTAATCCTTACCGTATTTCATGTACGCAGACATTAAATGACATTTTAGTCTTCTCAGATTCCTTTCAGTTGTTCATAGCCACAAATTCTTCTGAAGCTACAAACAGTTTCAGAAATAAACTATGTTAATAGCTTCATTATTTAGCACACCTCTTCATTGTTATTTAAATAACTTTAGCATGAAAGTTGCAGTTAGGAGCCTGCTATATGCAAGTTCTTTGCAGAGTCATAGTATATTTTGTGGTAACTGTTGCCGCAATTGTCTTTTTCTTAGATGAAGAATATCATGCGAGTGCTAGAACAGCATGAAATTCAGCCATATGAAGTTGCACTAGTCCACTGGGAGAATGAAGAAATGAACTACAGAATAGGGGAGTAAGTATCTTCAGGCACTCTGTATATAAAAGTTAATAGACACCTAAACCAACATTCAAGCAAAAGCAACTAGTAAAAATATACTTGTTGTTATGTTTTTTTCAAATGAGTAAAATAAGGAAAGAAGAAAACAGTAAATCTAAATTGACGATTTTTGCTGTATTGCTAAACTTGCAAGTAGTGGCCTTTGTGATTTGCTTATGCTATAGATTTTATATATTAAGAAACTCTGTACCCACATAAGTGAAGGTGTTCTTCAGCAATCCTGAACAGGAACTAGGTACCTCACAGGAAAAAAAAATAATAAGCATTATTTAGACAAGTCTGATTTTAAAGAGGATGCTCTGTATAAGCTTTCCTTATTGCCCTTGAGGTTAGTATACAAGAATGTAATTCTGCACATACTTCACTTCCTAGGAAAGTTACAGCTTGAATATTGTGTAATGATAAACCTGGCAAGTTGTTGTTCCTTGTTAAATGGTTTTTAATCCCAGGGAGGAAATTATCTCTACAGAACTATTTCTCAGTGAAAATGGTTATATAAATTATCTGTAATTTCCCAACAGTGATGCCACCAAAAAGCCACTCCTAGACAGGACACTGTTGACACTAGGGACTAGGGACTGAACTAATGAGGTTAAGCTTATTTAAGGTAACCTGATAAGGAGACAAGTGTTTCAGTTTTTTCTGGCCATTTGGAAACTGCATGTACTATGCAGTTATGTAATTCATGATTCTGGACATTTTCCATTATGCTTATGCAAATTTCGTAGTGGGATTGACATGAAAAATTGAATGAGTCTTATCCCTCCTTTTCTTTGCCACTTGCCCCCTATGCCATAGAGGTTTCAGGGAAAGTAGCACCATAGTGAGGATAGAGTGAGGTTGGTAAGAGTGACAGCAGAAAAGGAAAACAAACAGATAACAGAGGAGCTAGAGAGCAGGAGAGAGACCAGCATCCTGCTTACTCTGAATTATCTGTGTGGTTGTAGTAATGCTGTAGTTACTATCACAGCTTGTTGCACTTTCATTTAGATCTAGAAGATTTGGCCACAATATTAGTCTTCAACTGAGGAACTAATTTTCAGTGATTTGCTTTGGTTACTATCAGATTGAACGTGAGGGAAATGCAAGGATGGGGATGATATCCATACAGATATACTGCATGCTTTATGTAAATAACCAAACCTTTCTTGTGTTCTTTAAATGTTCCTTTGCTGGTGGTTTAGTCAATGAAGATGCTTCAATCTTGTTTTAACAGAGGTCAGTCAAAGCTCCATAAAGGACAAATCCTTTTAAATTCTGAGCTGGATAGTGATGAAGTTGTTCTGCAGAAATTTGCCTTTTCAAATGCTCTTTGTCTTTCTGGTAAGTTAAGATTGTTCATACTATCAGCCTTTGCTACATATTTTGTGAAATGTCATTATAGGTGGGACTTGTACAGCGAGAGGTTGGAGAAGACTTGGTGTCTGGTTTAAGCAAGCTGTGTAAAGTGTGATTGTGCTTCAGCGAGAGGATGGTTTTAATCTTTTACTGTGTTTTCTAAAAACTAGAATTGTCTTATTCAATATAACTCATTTTAAAGTTGAACAAAGCACATTAATAAACATGCTTTGCAAAAGAGACACATTCTTCTGCGCATCCTGTTCCCCACCCTTGAGAAGTATCAAGGAGGATAACAATGAGGGTAGAGGCCATTATTAGAAACCTCTCGGTAATCTTGTATAATTCATCCTGACATCATTTCCTCTGACAGAAAAAGCTAGATGCCAGCTAAAGAAGTGATGTAGAGCAGCGATTCCCAGCTGGGGAGGTGTACCAGTACCAGATGTGTGGACCAGAGTCACAGATAATATTTTCCAAGCTTATTAGCCATGGTAGGAGACAGTGGGAGGCACTGCAAAGAAGTCAGGCTCAGCAGTGGTGCTACAGAGTATGGAAATAATACCTTTCTTCTGCTTCAGACTTTGAATGATGTTGGAAGTTGGAATAGAAGCTAGCAGCAGTAAGGCTGTGTGTGGAAACACCTTCAAAGATAGTCTGGTCTGTCCACCCCTACTGCCTTTAGGTAAATTAGAGGGTTCCAGTAGTATTTGGGGAAGTGCCCCTTTACGCAGGAAAGACATCAAGAAACAGAAGGCATGTTTTTGAGATGCCTCAAAATTTGATCAAGGAGTGCAGTGTAACTAAATGGGTTTTGACTGTCGAAGGAAGAGTTGTTGAGAAAAAACGCCCATTGTTCTCTGTAGTTTTCCTATTCATAAAGCCACTGTATGGGAGAATAATGCTACATAAAAGGAAACAAAGGATTTATTCCCAGGAGATAATTGGTACCAGTTTATGTTAGTGTGAGACATGCACATCATAAAGAAAAACAGTTCAATAAAAGTGTTCAGTAAAAATAAAGGATGCAAGTATAGCCCCAAGGCAAATTTATGACACAGCAGAAACCAACCTCTGTCAAATAACAGGTGATAGCTGAAATGCTTACTGGCTTTTTTTTTCACGCAGGGGCTAAATTAAAAGTTTTTTAAGTCAGTGACTTGGAGTAGCCCTCTGTATTCAAAAGATAACTGTGCAAATGCTCAGCACTGGATTTACTGTCAGTGTTCTAAACAGATGATACTGTCAATTACTACCACAAAAGAGTTCATTTTGACAATTAAATCTTCTGTAATTAATTTTTTCTGATCGAATAGGGTTAATTTTTTATCTGTTGCTACTTCATTCTTGTCTGGGAATCTGTGGATTAAAGAGCAAAGCCTGAGTTATATCATTATCCTGTAGAAACATCCTTCCTGGCTCAAGCTGAGGCATAGTAGAATTTGTGTTGCTGTTGCCTGTGTTGAACTCGGGCTTCCATAGAAGAGAAGTTACATCTCCAGTAAACAGTATACTCACCTAAAAAGAAAATGGGAGATTAAGTTTGAATTTAGCTTTAGCAAGTACAGGTGGTGTGTCTATACAAGTTAATTCTCCATGGTAGGAGCACACTGCATCAGTACTGGACAAATGGAGAGTGAGAGCTGTGTAGGACACTAGAAGTGCAGTGGAGGCTCTTGAGTGGTACAACATGAAGTCAGCCTTACCCAAGCACTGCTTATATCTCCATCCTACGTGGAACGTAGTTTGCAAAGGCTTCTCACCTACTGTAGAGCACCAAGTTTTTGAGCTGAAGCAAAATTCTCCAGGATCTGAATGGATCATTTGGAGAAGAAAGCTGTGCTCAAGATGAAGGCAGTTCTGCATGCAGAGCTGTCAGTGCTCAGCCCAGATTTATGTATTGGTATATGAACAGTGACTGTATAATGCAAATGGTAACTTGCTGCAAATAATTTTATCAGCATCGATATGTCCTGAAGCACCTTTAAAGTTACAATTACTTGGAAACATGTACCTCTCACGGTCTTCTGCTTTGTCATCTCTGTGTTGCAGTGAAGCTGGCTATTTGGGAATCATTACTGGATAACTTTGTGGAATCTATCCAGTCAATTCCTGAGGTGAGGCCTTTGTAACTCTCCCCTCCTTTTCTCATGTGCTTTGTAAAAGATCAGTCCAGATACAGCTGAGGATATGGAAAAAGCAATTAAATGCTTAACACATTTGGCGATAAAGCCTTTAGTGTGGAGAAGCTCAGAACACCTGCAAAGTGGTGGGACAAATCATCATTTAAAGGGTTGGGAGTGAGATTCTGCACAGTAATGATGTTTCCCATGTTGTGTCACTGTCACCTGCCACTGGTGAATGTGTACATGTAACAGGACATTGAAACAGGATGTATAACGGCATTTAAAAAACATGGCCAACCAGTGTGTGGCAATTTAAGCTGAAAATAAGGTGCTTTAACTTGAATGTAATTAAAACTTTAAGTTAATTACTTAAACTACAGTTTTTCATGAAACTTAAAGTACAAAGCTCATATTATGTCACATATAAAAATGAGATTCATAGGGTTCAAAAGAGAAAATATTGGGTTTATTATTCTTATGCAAAGGAAATAAATGGTTAACACATTGATAGTTATAAGGAAAATGTCTACAGAAAGGTTAAGTAGTAAGAAAGTAGAACAACACTGTCATGACTTTAACAATAGTAGGAAGAAAATCAAGTGATCTCTTGTTCAGGAAATCATTCATAGAAAATGCTCCAGGATTTACTGATAACATACTCAGTGATTTAGTGAAAAACCTGGATGAACAGTTGCATGGTAATATGCTTAGAAAGCTAGATAAGTATGGCACTAAGAAAACAAAACTAAAATGTTAATAAGGACAGTATGCATTCAGATTTTAACCCATATTCATACTTCAGGCTGTAAAACTCTGGGCTTCTTAACTACTAGTACATGTTACTTGATCAAGCAGTGAAGAACTTCTTACTTTGCAGATTCTAAAGTCACGAAGGAGGGTAAAACTCTCTCATGCAGATGTGATGCAGAAAATTGGAGAACTCTTTGCACTAAGGTAACTTTTTTGGTTACACCCAAAACATTGTAATACACAGAACTTAAAAATTACATTGTGTGTGATACCAGATTACACACTTAATAGAGCAGGATGGGGCAGTAAGTGGGGGAATTCCTTCAGCCTTCTCTTGGCTGGAGACTACTGTTTACGTTAGTCAGAGGACCCACTGTCTCACCACTCGCATTTTAACTATAGACAGTCATTAGGCAGTATATCGTAAATTACCAAATTCCAGACCCTTTTCCCTCTCTAGGTCCAGCAATGCATGTCTCTTAACTGGTAATTACAGTAGATACTAGAGCATGTGAAGGATACCAGGGGAAAGACAGGTAGGTAGATCTTCTGTGAATTCTTGTCTTCCCTTGACTTACTCAGAAACCACAGCTAAAATGTATGGATTTAATGGTTTTTCCTCCCTCAAGTGAAATTTGGCCATTAACAACACAGAGCATTACATACTCTTTAAAAAAAGAAAAAAAACCCTCGAAGTTAAAAAAGCAATTCCTGTTTTAAACATTGGGGTTTATATCCTTCCTTGAAGGACTCTTCACTAATAAACAGTGATGTTCCTAAAATCCAAAGGTTTATTTTAGCAGTAGGTTGAAGGCAGGAGATTTTAGCTCTTAGCCTTTATGATGCTGAGACTGTAGCCTGGTTCTGAAGGATGTGCTGTGCTCACACATCCAGCATGCAGTACCAGTAACATTTAGAAGTTCTTTAATTTGTGTACTGTTCCAGTGAGCTACTAGCATAGCCAGGCACTTCTCTGCAGGTATGAAAAATTAAGGAAGGTGACAAGTTGAGGATGCAATGTTGCCATAAGGCAAAAGTCATTTATGTTCAAAACTGTTCCACAGTACAATATCCCCAGAAAAATTTCAGGAGATGTGACCAATTTTAAACAATCACTGCAATTGTATTTTTACTATGAAAGAAGATTCTTTTCATACTTGACTTAAAATTACAGGAAAATTTTTCTGTTTCTTTTGACTGCTATGTAAATATTTGCTCCTATATTCACCAAAAGGAAGCCTGAACCACAGTAGTACCCATTCTTTTTAGACACCGTATAAATCTGAGCTCAGACCTGCTAATAACACCTGACTTCTACTGGGATAGAGAAAAACTGGAAGAGCTTTATGACAAGACATGCCAGTTTCTCAACATTAATCGCAGAGTTAAGGTAGGTGTCTTACCATTATGAGAACTTTCCATGCTCAGATAAGTCATCTTTGGCTCAGCAGGGTCACAAACTGCTCCCTGAATGTCTCTCTTAATTGTAGAAACTGAATAATAGGATCCTATACACTATCCCCTTTTCCATGTGTTCATAGCCCATTTGCACCTTTACCCAGTTGAGGTTAACCTGCCACACATGAATGGATTGCATATTTCCTGAGCCACTAAATTAGGATTTAAGGAGTTACAAGAAGAGATTAAATTCTTCTTCTGAAATGTGTGCAAAGAAAACATGTTAAATAAAAACAAGATGTGAAGCATTCTTCTTACTGACGTGGTCATTCAGGTCAGTTCTCGAAGGGTAACATAATGCTTACTGCTGAACCAGAATAAGCAGCACAAAAACTACCTCTTCGGGTGGTACAGCAGCCTTAAGTATTTACTTTGGAGGTATTCCAAAAAGCTGCATCGTCTTTTGCTTGTGCCTGTTTTCATGAGTAGATATCACCCAGAAGCACTTTAATACCTGCAGATGCATATCCAGATTTCTGTTATTTCTGTGGACCTGTTGAAATAAAAGGCTCATTTATGTCGAAACTTTTGTTGCTTGTGCATGTTCCCTTACAGAACTTTCTGTTTTATTTTGCAGTGGTGTTAACACCTTTCTAGTTCTGTGCATTGAGCCCTTCTGTGGAGTGTGTTTCTGTATTTAGCAATCTCATTCCATTTCTGGAATCCAGATTTGCCACATGTTTGTAATTGCTTGCAGGTAATGAATGAAAAACTTCAGCACTGCATGGAGCTGACAGATCTAATGCGAAATCACCTGAATGAAAAGCATGCTCTGCGCCTTGAGTGGATGATAGTAGTACTTATCACCATAGAGGTTAGTAGGGTTTCTTTCCACTGTCACACTGAACATGTAATAACAATTGCAATTTATGTACTTCATAATTTGAGAATTACATTATTTTAGTAATGTGATGTACTGTACAAGGGGATTAGTCTTCAGTTCTTCGCAAGTAACTTTCAAATTGCAGCTAGTTATTTTTCAGATTATCTGATTTACAGAGTAAATCAAGTAAAGTAAAAGTTCATATCACTGTGTTTGCTGTTCTCCAGGTTCTGTTTGAACTTGCAAGGGTAGTTTTCTGATGACAGAAGAAACTCGGGAAGAAAACTGACAAAATCATTATGATCATACAGCCTGGAAAATTCCTATCATATCCTTCTGGAAAAGAGTGAAATTATGTCTCTTGATAAATCTGTAAATATACTCAAATAAAAACAAAAAAATAATAAATCAGTCTGTGAACATCATTCCCAGCTGCTGTACTAGTGATGCTAGAGAGATCTTAATCTATGAATGTGCTAGTGTAAAGCTGAGGTGCATTTTTAGGGGAAGTTTTGTAGGGTGAAGACCCAGACACGTGCAGGAGTAGTGCAGAGAGAGGTTTAGTTTTGTCTTCTTAATAAGCAAAGACAGAACGGTGGATCCCTGTATTATTAACATGGTAAAGGATTCTACTGCCTTATCCCCTTGACAACTAAAAAGATGCTGAGTGCTTTGCTACTCTGTGCATTTCTGACAGTATTTTTTCCAGCTCCTTCTTGTACAGCCATAACACTGTCCCAAGCTTGGAAACAGCACTACTTACTAGTTCTCCTTAAGTTATCTGGCACGATTTTAGTATTTGTGGCAGGTATATCTAATGTTATGTTCTACCCCATCAGAAAAAGGTGTTTACATACTTGTATGGGATTACATTTCTTTAGTACTACTTACATTATTTTTTTACATTTAGTATTCATATGAAAGGGGAACAGAGTTGATCTTTATCTGAGGTCGCAGGAAGCTGTAGCAGAATGAAGTAAGACTGACAAAATTTCTCTGTTCACATTATCATGCTATTTGATTTTTACCAATACAAGTTGCAAGGAGTTAGCATAGGGTAAGATGTCTTAATTACCCTCTAAGGTAAAAGTTTCTTATTTTTTATTTTTACTTTATTCCTAGTCTACAGAATATTACCATGAGAGGATGAAAGGAATTTTTTTTCCCCAGCAACTTCTCTTTCTAAATGTGTTTTCAGAAATTATAACACAACTGCTATTTTATCACCTTTTTCAAAGTCCCTTTAGTCCAGTGTATTGTTTCAGGAACATAACTTAAAATTTTTTTTAAAAGCATCTGCAGCATCATTGACAAGCCACAATGACTAAATTCTGGCTAAAAGTGCAAAATCCATTTGCAGTAGCTTACTGTTCCGTCTTCACCTGAGAGCAGTATTTCTGAGTGTGATACTAGACTCCTGTTGAATACATCAAATATACCCACTGGAGAAAAGAGTAGTCAGGCAGAGACAGGAAAATTGTCTGACTACAAACTGATCCTTCTGCCATAAATTATATTAGAGTGTCCCAGAAGCTACTTAAGAAGCAGCAACTGCTCCTAAGTGAAGGTTTTTCTCCTTGGAACCAGAATAGACCCTACCTCGAGGTCTTCATTCTAGAATAGCTCAACTCTGACTTCTCTGAACTGCCGAGAAGGTCTGAAGTGTGAAGCCCCGCTCAGGGAAGTGAATCAATCAGTCAGGAGAACAGCCGGGTGACAGTCTTGTAGTACAGTGCAAACAGCTCTGCCTGACTTATGCAGGGTTGTTACGAAATGGAACATTACATCTTTTATGCAGCAGAAAAACTTACCAAGCACCACTTAATTCCAGTAACAAGAATTGGGTTATATTTTAATTCTAACTTTTCTAGCAAACATTTTTCAGGCTTCCCCCCACCCCATTTGAGTGTAATACTTACATTCAACATCAGTTCCCATTCATCTCACAGTTCATGTTTCAGTATTGCTAAATGGTAAATTTAGCTAAAATTGCTAAAATGTAAATTTGCAAACCAACTGCATCTAGCAGGAAAGTGGTTTAACGAAAACATTTGGGGACTCCTGGATGTTCTTTAAAAGTTCTGAAGTGTCTAGGCTTGATGATCTGAAGCATTCTGTTTTGGTACTGCAAGAGCTACCACCATCTCAAAACAAGAGAAGCACAGTTACTTTTGAAACGTAGATCAGTTCATCTTGGCACATAAAATCACAGCCACTAAAGTCACACTCTCTGTTTCCTGCCAAACCCCCAGCCCCACTTGCTGTGTTGAGTGGCTCCTCATAGTTTTTTTAAAAAACTTCACTTAAGCCTTACAGTGTATTAGAACTTTGTATCCACTTTTGTCACAGCGTACAGGCTACATCGCATGAGAGGCTTTTGTTTTAGCAACAAAGCCTACAATCTGTTTGAGAATATCCTCACTTTATTGCATGTAGAGAAGCAAGATGGGAAGTTGAGTGCACCAAGAAGCTAACAAGCTTTCACAGCATGATTACACAGAGCAGAGCCCTCTGCAACCATGCAGCACGTGGGAAACTCCCTGCCTGCAATCCCTGCTCTGCTTCAGGCTGGAGATCCCATGGGGAGCCTGTGCACGTGTGTGTACACATGGCCTGACCAGGACAAAGTTTTATGGCAGAGGCAGGATGAGTCTCTAGTTCCAGCAGCAGCACAAAACTCTTTTAGCTGTGAGAAAACATTCATCTTTCAGCTGCCTCATCCACCACACGCCTTCACAGTGTAATTGAAAACAACTATCATCACTACACAGCTTCCACAGTTTGAGTCTTCACCAAAATGGGTTTACTCTAACTAGTAAGGGTCACCTGGGTAAAAAAAAAAGAAAGATACAATAAAAACAGAATATACAAGGAAAACCAGAGTTGAATCCTGCTATATCCAAACCTCTAAAATTTTAACCTTTTTAACAAAATTAAGACTGAATGGCAAAATTCTGCTCATATGAAACCCTGTTAGACCATTCTTTTTAAGAATCCAAAGTACACAGACTGCTTCTGTGTTTTTTTTATAGATGAGGTAAAGGACTACTTAAAGATTATTTTCATCAGCAGATCTGCTAGGAAGTTGTCAAAAGAGCAGCTATTTGGCTAAGAGTTGTGACTCCTGAATTCCAGCCCATTTTTTTTTTGGGTGACAGCACTAGTGGCTACAGTCAGTCCCCTGCTCTCAGCTGTGCTGTTTACCACAGTAGCTCTGCGGGCAGGATAACCCGGGACATACACTCACCTAGAGCTCTGTCACTGAGAGCTGCTTCCTCTGTGGAATACCTCACACACATGGCCTTTGAGAATTCACTCATCACCGTTGCAGTCTGAATCAGTTTTTTATTAAGGAAAACAACACATGCAAGTTCATATATTGCTGTAACTTTATAGTCAAGCTTCACTAAAAATGTCACTTCAGCCAAGGGAACATAGTCATGTTTGAACTTCACCAGTTAAAAGTGGGCAAAGCCCATGTAACAGGCTCATCTGGGACTAAGTCAAGGCCAGAGAGGAGCGGGCTAATCTACACTGCAGAAGCTGTATCAGTTGGTCTACACTAATAATTCCTGATGCGGATGAGACTCCTAACAAGAAGTACACAGACAGTTAAACCATTTCCTTAAATGATATACATTGTACTAACAAAAGGACTGGAATATTATTTTTTCCCCTGGTCTAAATTGCAGCTACTCAATTAGTTTTGTTTGCTAGGTGTAGGAACAATTCCTAATTAACATACTGATACCAGAAAAACAGCTTAGCCTACAGAACAGCAAAGATCCATTTCTTCATCTTTGCACCTCAGAGAACCTACACAAAAGGTGGCTCACACACCATAGATCTCCTTCACTTCTAGGACCACCAAATAAACTCTGAAAGGTCAGATCTCCTTGGGGGCTGACAACTCACCTCTCACCAGTGTACCCCAACAGCCTCCCCAGGGCAAGGAAGCCAAGAAAAAGCAGAGCTGTTCCACAACTCCTGCTGGATCCTTACATTTGGGATTTTCCCAGGGATCACTTTTACGTTTTTACAGTGCTATGTGAAAGACAGGTGAGAATTGGGCTAAATGTGTGAAAAATTCTAAGAGAAGGAGGACAGAGTCCCGGATGAAAAGGTTGGAGACTGTCAGAGGGACAGTATTCTAGCAAGGAGCTTCTGCAGCTGTCACGCTTCCCACCAGCATTCTCGCTAGCATGAATCAAAAGTGGAAGTGTTAGAAATGGCAGCTGTGCTAATAAAACAGATTTACAGCACTGACATAAACTCGTGTTTTACTATATTTGTACCCACGTGAGAGCAGTGTCCCACACCTTCAGGGAAGGGTTCCCACCCATTGCTTAGAATACGCAACTCCCAGATCCCCACAGCTTCGGCAGGAAGTCCTGTGGGAGTGGGCCAGAATTGCCACAGGGAACGGTGAGCAGAGAGCTCTTTGAAACGGGGACTCTGCTCTCTTATTTTTCAAAAATGCTGAGAAATTTGAAATGTCACTAAAAATCTTGGCACTTTGAGCCTGATTAACATCACTAAAGCTGTTAAGGTTTTGACTACAACAATAAAATCTGCTATTCAACTCCAGATTTCAACTGAACTCAACCAAAAAGACACAAAGAACTCAAGACTGGATCAACTTCCTTGTGCTGCTTAAGTGACTTAGATTAGCAGACATTTTGGTCGTCCTATTAACACTTAAATCATCTGTAGTATGTTCATTTACAATGCGAAATATGATCTTATCAGGTAAAATTCTGCCTTTAATCCAAGTGCTTGAAGACTGAAGCAAAACCAAAAACCTAGGGACTGATCCTGTCATCAATAGTAACACACCTAACTATGAATGACCCAGATGAGTACCGCTATCTGAATCAGTCTGAACAGTCTTGTCTGAACAGTCCTTTCAAAAAGTAACAAAGTAGGAAAGAAATCCTAATCAAATACCTCCAGAAACTCAAAACCCCAAAACTCAGATGAGTTGGAAGTAGAATTTTAGACTGACATTGTAAATTGGGTGTCCAAAATGCACCAGATGAACAACCATGACACAGGTCTCAGATGTAAGTCAGTACTGAAGGTGCGAAGTTCAGCAACATTACACCCAACACAGCAATCTTTCTACAAATTCCAATAGGCCTTGAATCCAGCGGGATCCTTCCAAATTAGAAACTGCGTTATTGCTGGATTAAACTACTGGGGTCCAAATAAAAGTGCTTTAAATCTGAATTATGAGCTATTAATAATAATACCATAGTTAAGTTTTTCTCCAGTTTCAGAGAGCACAAAGGAGAATCCCAGATGAATGCCAATACACAAGTACTAAACTGCAACATTAAAGAGAAAACAGAGGCCACAAAGCCTGCCAGATATCTGCCAGAAACACACTGGTTTTCCTAAATAGCCCACTCAATTTAATTAAAAATTTTATCACTTTCACCATCTTTCATGAGAACGAGACAAATGATCCACCACTGAGCAACTTAAGTTCAAATGCCCATCTACTCTCTTTACTCTGTATTTAGTTTGCAGAACTGAAATGTAAGGGAAACCATACAGGGGAAAAAAATGCCAAGTAGACTGGCTAAATACACTCTGTAAACTTCTGCCACATGCTCACATAGCAGAACATAGAAGAGTTGTTAAAACCATGACCCTTGTAGTTCAGCATATCTCAGCTACTTGATGTGGGTCCTAAAGATGCAGTTCTGTTCAGCTGCTCTATTCAAAGTACTGCAACAGCAGCAAACAGACTGTCAGCTTTCAGCTCCACTAAAATTAAAGTTGTTGGGCTTTGGGGTTGGTTTGCTGGGGTTTTTTAAGACTTCACTAGTTAGTTTTCAAGTGCAGCTTAACTTGGGTAAATAAATTAATATTCATGAGCTATATGATCCAAACAGTCTCAAACTGAGCCTATCAAGATGGCCATTAATTTCAGTGGGAGATGGCTTAGACTCACATAAAACTGGTTCAATCCTTAAACAATAAACGCTTGCTTAAATAAGTACCTTAAAAAAGGTAATAATCATTATTACCATTATCTGGACCTAATTCAAACCATTGGCATTGTAGCATATGCTGTTCCCCATGAACAACAAAGAGCACACTTCAGGACAGCAGGAGCAGGCCTCCAGGGCAGGCGGTGTAAAGGAACCCCCTTTAACTACTGCTGGCCGAGTATCTTCCCACAAGGTTTTCAACAACAAAGTTTCTCTCTGAAAACGATTCTGCCTGTGTCACTGCTCTGCTTAGCAGATGCCGCCTTACAGCCCAGACTGATTCCCTGCTTGGAGAAATCACACCCAAGGACTTCCCAGTCTCTTGTAGATGGCATCCCTGCTCCACGCTAAAAGCTCTTAAGTAACTTCTGTAAGACCAACAATTTTTTCCATGTATCGCAGTGTCTATTGGTGCACTCCTTTGTGCAGTTCTATAAGCATCCATGGATTATTCTACAGCACACCTTAGATCTGGATAAAAAGATGCCTGGCTACAGCCACCTTCTGTCTGCACTCCACCGCAACCAAAACTGCCACTGTGGGAAGTTGCAGATGTGGCTTTTTTGGAAGACAACTATACTGTCCCCTTAAAAAGTCATGTTAAGAATAGCCAGTTCAAATAACCTGCGTCCTGCTGAACAGACCAGAAGCGAACCCAACCTTTCCACTTCTGTACTCTGAATCACTCTTTTTGACAACTGAACTTGTAACCTCCCGTCTGACAGCTCAGCCACGCCGTGCCCAGGGCAGTTTCACAGCGACCGGGCCCACGCCGCCCCTTCCCAGCCCATCGAACCGAGACCTTGCTATAAATGACACTTGGAGCGCAGCCAGGGTGACGCGGAGGAGGGCACCGGCACTGAGCCCACGCCCGAGGGCCCCGGAACGCCGCGTCCCGCCGCCGCCGGCCGGTCCCCGTCTCCCACACCCCCGGCGGCTCCGCGGGAAGCGCAGGAACGCACCTGCGCCCGCCACTCCTCCCCGGGAGCGAGCGTGGGGGCAGCACCCGGCGGCTTCCATCCATCCATCCCACCCCCGCCGCCAAGCACCGCCCGACGGGAGCCGCCCGGTGCCCCCCGGCGGCGGCACCGAGCAGCCTCTGCCGCCGCGGCAAGGCCGGGCGGGCGCTGGGAAGACGGCGGCGGGTGCAGCACCGCCCCATCTCATCCCATCCCAATCCCGGCCCCGCACGGCGCCACATCCCCGTTATTCCCGCAGCGCTGGCGGCGGAGGCCACACTGGCCCCCGCCGCCCGGGAGTTTTAAAGGGGCAGTGGGTCCCGCTGGGACGGGGGCGGCGGCGTCGATCCGGCGGTGCCCGGAGGGCGGGAAGGCCGGTCCCGTGCCCGGTGCCGGCGGTGGGGCGGGCGCGGAGGGAGGGGCAGGGGCTGGGTGTCTCCCGCTGCTGCTGCCGCTGCCGCCACAGCGCTCGCCGCCTCCCCTCCCCCACGGCGGGGGCTCCTCGCCGCAGCCTCTGTGCTCCGCTCCCGGTCATGTGACCCGAACGTAACCGGACAGGAAAAGCCGCCGCCGCCGCCGCCGCCGCGCTGACTCCGTTGTTGCTGCTGCCGGGCGCGGAGACGGCGGCGGCCCCCGCGCGGCGCCACCCGGCGGCCCCGGCGCCCCCCAGGTGAGCGAGGACCGGCCGCGCCGCGCCCGCCCCGCGGGGCCGCCCGGCCCCGCCGCCCGCACGTGCGCCCGGCCCCGCCGCGCCGGCCGCGGCCCGGGCTGAGGCGGCGGCGGGGGCGCGGCGGGGCCTGCGCGGCCCTACCTCCGCATTGTGTGCGAGGGCCGCCCCGGGCCCCGCCGGGTCCGCGCGGGCCGAGGGGGCGCGGGGCTGGAGGTGGGGCCGGCCGGGCGAACCCCCGCCGGGCCGGGCCGGACCGGGCCGGGCGGCTCCATCCGGGACACGGCGCGGGGAGGGGGATGGGCGCGCGCCCAGGAGAGGGCCGGGCTTGGGGGGGTGGGGGGGGCGGTCGGTGGGTCGCGGGGAAGGAGGCAGGGGGCGGGGGGGCCGGTGCCGCCCGGCGCGGGGCTCGGCTCGGTCGGTTGAGGCCCGCGCTCCCTCCCGCCCCCTCCGGCGGCGGCGGCGGCGGGATCCGGCGCAGGCGGGGCGGGGCTGCCCCGCCTGTCCCCCCCGCCCGGCGGGTTGGGATGGGATGGGCCGGGCCTGGCGGCGGCGGCGACAGCAGCGTCTCTTCCCGTCTCGCGCGCCCTGGCGGCTCCGCTCGCGCTGCGTCTCGCGCGCCGTCTCCGTCCCGTCCGTGCGCGCGTGGCGTGCGCGGGGGGGGCGGGCGGGGGGAGGAGGAGGAGGGGGCGGGGCGAGGGGTGGGGCGCAGCCAGTGAGAGCGGCGCGCGCCCGCCCGGCCCCCCTTTGCGGCGGCCAATGGGAGGGCGCCGTGCGCTGCTGCCGCGGGGGCCGCGCGCGGCTCCCGGCGATGGAGGGGGCGCGCGCCGGGACACGCCCCCGGCTCCGGGCGCGGCGGGAGTGTCCCGGCGGCGCGCGCCCCCTCCTTGCCTCGCGCCCCGCCGCCGCTGGCGCGCGCGCAGCCCGGTCCCGTCCGGTCCCGTCCCGTGGCCACGGGCGGGGCCGGGCCGGGCCGGGGCCCATCGCGATTCCCTGCCCGCCGCCCGCGGTGAGGGCGGAGGCGCCCGCTTCGGGCGGTGCTGCGCTGCTGTGAGCGGCCTGGGCCGGGTAGAGCCCTCTGCTGACGGAGCGGGAGCAGCGCCGTGGGCTCGGTGCTCCGGAGGGTCGGTGCCCGCCTGCGCCGGGCAGTGCCCGAGCTGTTCTCTGACGGCCCGCCCGGCCGCCCCCTCCCCGGCCGCTTCCTCGCCTGCGCTACTCCTTCCTCGGCGCTCCAGGCCTGTTCCTCTTCTCCCGCTGTGCGGTACCGGCGCTTTCCCGGCCTCATCCTGGCCTTGTTCCCACCCCTTTTCCCCGCGGGGTCTCCAAGATGAACACACGCTTCCCAAAAGGGTTCGCCCCGGCGTGGCTTCCCACGCTGAACGGGTTAGGTAATTCCAAAACCGTGGCAGAACGGAGCCGCGCCAGGGAAGGATTGTCCCAGTGAGGTTACAGGGTACAAGAAATGTTTCACGCAATTGTTGTACTGGTCAGCTGTAAAATACGGCCTTGCCGGTGCTAATCATTGGTTTATTTAGCTAAGGGTAAAACTCCAGAGTTCACACACATATATATATTATACACCTATATATGTATATACTTATATATACCTATAACATACGAGGTGCTTTCCTCGCTCCTTTCATCTGCCTTTCGATTTTCTTAAGAGTGTAATTCTTCTAGTGCTTTCAGTTACGGCACTTTAATATCATTCAGATACACTCAAAATGCAGTGTTGGGCACGTGTGTCATTTTGTGAAAAGAATAATTCAGGCCTATGATGAAGGTCATCAGCTTCAGCTGCCACAGTGGCTTCTGTTTGGGTAAGGGTGAAACTACAAGCTAAACAAACTTAGGATGATAATAACTAGAAAGAATGCCTTTCTGGCTTGGAGGCCCTCATGTCGATGGTTTGCTCTGCCTGACAAGTTTGCTGTCCGAGTGCAAACCAGACTTAGCACTGGTGAATTAGAAATGCAGCACACATTAATAATCTAAATTAAAGCTAATTAAAAAAATCTAGTGTGTTTTCTGTAACATCACAAAGTCTGCACGTGTGGGGCACCTCACAGGATTAAGTAACACCAAGCAGTTTTTGTTACGGCTGACAGCGAGTATTCCCTCTTGTGGAGAGATGGAGATGATCTTCACTTTGTACAACAAAAATCTAATTATCCAAATAGTTTAGGGAAAAGAATATGGGCCTAAAGAGAGGTGCACTCTTTTTTTCTCTTAGCTGTAAGAACATAATCAACTGTATCGTATATGGTATATCTTTTTCTGCTTGTACCCCTGACTCAAATGAGTTCTGATCTCTTGTGAATGCAAAGGAATGCATTTGGTCAGCCTAGTTATTGGTTCAAATATGAGGGCATTCTTCACTGTCCAGCAAATAAAAATACTTGTTTCTCCAATGATCAAATATACTGGCACATGTGGAATAAACTGTTGTTCTCTTTCCCAAAAAGCCATGCTGTTATTGTATAAAAGAAAGCTGCTTTTACTTCATTTAAAATTTCAATAGCTTCCTGTTAAGTTTGTAGGGGAAAAAGCCCAAGACTTTTTATAAACCTTTTGGTCTACTTCTATTTTCACCTTCTCTTTGTTTTCTGTTCTGTTCTGCTTCTTCATAGTGCTGGGCATAGCATGGCTGTTTTACATATTTAAGTACAGATCTATATGACTTCATACTTTCACTTTTTCTGCTCAAAGCTCTATTTATTTTGGTTAAGTTTGTATCCACATGTTGATCTTACTAGGTCTGTATTCATCCATCCAAACATACGCAACTGTCCCAATGTGTTTTCCTGGCTATTTTTTTCCCTAGAGTTACTGATTTCTGCTTCCAAGGCTGCACTTGAGTCCTTGAGAAAAACTTTGTAGCTCTTAGGTAGTTCTTTTTGGGCAGCCTCCAGCAGCTGGTACAAGGAAGGTGAGAGCTGTGGAAACCCTGGTTTAGGAGGGCTCAGGTCAGTGCCACATTTCACTGTTAGTTATCCTACCTTATGCTGATGGCCAGTGATGGATGGAACTGCACCTCTCACCCTCTGAGTTTCTTGATTTGCTAGGCAGGCATGAGGCACACAGGCTGCTTACAAATTGCTGTTGTAGCTGGTCTCAATAAATAAATAAAGATTTGTTGGGTGAAAAGGCTGGCCCCTCCCGTATTGATAGTCCAGAGAGCTTCCCGATACCTAGAATGAATTGTTTGACTCTGGCAAGATTCAGGTAATTCTCCGGTATTTCCCAGAAGAGGGCATAACCATCAGTTAAAAGTATCTAACTTGTCTTTTGTTGGGTTGTGCTCTTGTCTCTCCCACCCACTGAGATAAGGGTGACTGACATCAGTAAGGAAATTTATTTTTCCTACTTGAGCAGACGAGTGGCAACTAAAATACTTTCTTTTTTCCATTGCATATAGTGGTTTTACTGCTTATTAATATATCTTCCTCTCCCTTAGCTATTTCTATTTCTGTATCCAAGCCCAACCCCGTGCCTTTTCAGAGTTCTTTTGTCCTGGCTCTTCTTTGCTCTTTAACCCTGTCAAATCACTTGCACCTTTGTGAATTGCCTTGCCCGTCATGAAATAGAGATCCTTGCCTATGTGTAAGATACCTTTTATACAGTCATTGGGATTAAGAGGTGTTACTGAAGCAAGGCATACAAATATTAGAGGAAAATATCTGTGAAGAGATAGCTACTGTTGCATCTGTGCATCTACTGTTAAGTTTTACATGACAGTCGTTTTCTTTTCAGAGTGTAAAAAAATGGATTTGGCCAACCATGGACTTATTCTGCTGCAGCAACTAAATGCTCAGAGAGAGTTTGGTTTCCTGTGTGACTGCACAGTTGCCATTGGTGATGTCTACTTCAAGGCACACAAATCAGTCCTCGCTTCTTTCTCCAACTACTTCAAGATGTTGTTTGTTCATCAAACCAGGTAACTGTAAAAAGGTGCACTGTTTAAATGTCGTTCAGGTGGCTGAGCTAAGGAAGTATTTCAACATTTTGAAACCTAAAAACATTCCTTTTGCTTCTTGCTATGTCCTAAGGAGTATGGAATCCAGTCTTATCTGCAAACTAGAACCTCACTTTAAAACATGTTAAACTTGAACTGTGATTCATTAACACTAATTTTATAATTTGGCTCAAGTTCTCTATCCTTAAAAAATCATAGAATTTCTAGAATTGAATACTTCAAGGATCCTATTTCACTCCTGCACTTTCCTTCCCCCTTCTGCTCTGTCTTGACACTTCCATAACATTATTTAGTATTTACTAGGAGATTTTGAGAAATAAACTTAAAAAAGAGGTGTATATATATACTTTTTTTTTTTTTTGCAGTTTATCAAAGTCAGTTATATAATAAGATACTACGTAGTGGTGGAAAATAAGAGGATTTGTGTTACTTTTCTTTCTATGTTTTGGTGTTGGTTTAGGGTTTTTTTTTTTTTACCAGAGCCTTACACTGAGGACATTGAAAAGATAACCAAAATGTAAGACTGTTTTAAGGATTTTTCTTTCTTTTTCCCAAATATTCTATCTATCAAAACTCCTAGGACAGAAGTGCATTTGCATTTCTGAAACAGTACTGCAGGTAGATGTATCAGTCTTGATGCTCCATCAAGAGCACACAGTTATTTTTGGAAGACAACATTGCAAAGTTTACTTTTGAGTAATACATCTGAATTCAAAAGCAGTCACAGAGAAGGCTCGAGAAGGGTGCACCTCAAGAAATGGAAGAATTGGCTGTAATTTCCTCCTCGGCTTGGTAGCACGCTGTGGTTAGAGCATTCAGAGCACAGCACAGTGTCTGTTTCTGGATTTCTGTGTTTTATTTAATGCTTCTTTTTAATACATGAGCTACAGATTCTTCTGAAAAATAATCAGAATCCCAGTTCCTCTCCTATTAGCTAACTGACCTAACCAAGGTGTTCCCTATTTTCTTTCTTCTGTGAACCGTGCCTCACTTTCTGGATAGAGATCCAGCTCCCAGCAGAGGCATGGTGGGTGTTTCAGTCCGGAGCATCATAACGGTTGATGCACTGGGCACACTCTCGGCTGGAGGATGGTGTTGGTTTCAGTTCTGTTAGGCTGAAGAGGCATCACAGCCAAAGCATTTCCCTTTACTGAGCCCTGTAACCAAGGGACTGCTAGGCTGACCAGGCATACCACTAGTGCTCCTGTTTCTTCCTACCTGTTCAAGGAAAGAAGCTGCGATTCTGCTGGGCAAAGAGCCTGGACTCCGTGGGTTATGTTTGCTCAGGCTGTACCTGTTGCATCAGATCCCCAGGGTATTCACACCCTGTCCTGCATGGTTTCTGGATCGTAATGCGGTTGAAACAAGGTGATAACACACGTTTGCAGAACTGTACCTATATGCCCTAGCAGGACATAGAGGGCAAATAGGCAAGTGTCAGATGAATTTTAGATGTTATCAGGGAGAAAAGTACTGAGTACTAAGTACTGAGAAAAGTTTAACAGACTATGAATTTACAGTCCAGTGCTAGCAGGTTTTCATCTACCTACAGATATGTTTGAATCCAACCAAGAAAAAGGGAAAAATGTCTTTGCAATTTACAGAATATATTAATATGTGGCAACACACGTCTGTAACATAATAGCAAATTAGAAGGGTACAGATCGCAATGGGACAGCTTTGTCTTTCAAGCCAGTTACTTCACTGAGGAAAAAAGTCATCTTCCAAGCCAATAAGATTAGCTCTTTTATGTTAAAGCATTTCTCTAATATGTACTTTTTTCATCTTTCAGTGAATGTGTCCGTTTGAAAGCGACTGACATACAGCCAGATATCTTCAGTTATCTCTTGCATTTGATGTACACTGGGAAGATGGCACCACAACTCATTGACCCAGTTCGACTAGAACAAGGAATAAAGTTTCTGCATGCATATCCACTAATTCAAGAGGCCAGCCTTGCAAGTCAGGGAACTTTTTCTCACCCGGATCAAGTTTTTCCATTAGCATCTTCATTATATGGCATTCAGATTGCAGATCACCAGATAAGACATCCCACTAAGGTTACATCAGCAACTGACAAACTTGGGCGAGAACCAAGGCCACAGACGTCGCGGATGAACCAAGAGCAGGTTTCTGAAGGCTCACAGCTCTCGCAGTTGGCTACAACTCTGCCACAAGTGACCCGAACAAATATGTCCACTTCTGACCCACTGCCATCTTCTTTATCTCCAGAACTGGTATCTGCTGCTGGTAATAATTCACCTGCAGGAGAAGAGGCCAACATGGAAGCATCTTCTTCTGATGAGCAGCCTGCCTCACTCACAATAGCACATGTCAAGCCAAGCATTATGAAAAGGAACGGAAGCTTCCCAAAATACTATGCCTGTCACCTCTGCGGTCGCCGGTTCAATTTACGAAGCAGTTTGCGTGAGCACCTGCAAATCCACACAGGAGTTCCCTTCACATCCAGCCAGCAGGGAGAAAGTAATATTTCTTTGTCTCTCTGTAACAACACGGCTGATAAAGATGCCATGGAAGTGCCTGAAGCAGGGATGATTAGTGACAGTGAGTTGCAGCAGATCTCAGACTCCCCAATAATTGATGGGCAGCAGCAGTCAGAGACACCTCCCCCCTCTGATATCGCAGACATTGACAACTTGGAGCAGGCAGATCAAGAGAGGGAGGTAAAGAGACGGAAATATGAATGTTCCATCTGCGGTCGCAAATTTATTCAGAAAAGCCACTGGAGGGAGCACATGTACATACACACAGGCAAGCCCTTCAAGTGTAGCACTTGTGACAAAAGCTTTTGTAGGGCTAACCAGGCTGCCAGACACGTGTGCCTAAACCAGAGCATGGACACGTACACGATGGTGGATAAACAGACTCTGGAACTCTGTACTTTTGAGGAAGGCAGTCAAATGGACAACATGTTAGTACAGACCAACAAGCCCTACAAATGTAACTTGTGTGACAAAACGTTTTCAACTCCCAATGAAGTAGTCAAGCATTCGTGCCAAAATCAGAACTCTGTCTTTACACTAGAAGAAGATCGCTCCATTCTGCTAGGTGGTGGGGACACAGAAGCCACAGAGACTGATAACGCAGTGTTAGCCTCCATCAAAAAGGAGCAAGAAGCAGTGTTGTTAGACTGAATGTGAAACCTATATCAATTTTTTAAAGTTTCTTTACTCATTTTTTATTAAAACGATTTTTTCCTTCCCTTACCTCTTACCTCACTTACCCCTTCCATCTTTTCCACCAACATCCTTCCCACCCTTTGTCTTCAGCAACCAGAACTGTACTGGCACAGTAGGAAATTGGACTTTGCCTCTCCCACCAAAACAAACAAAAAGCTCTTGCATCAAACCACAACAAAATTGATTTTAATACAAAGGAACATGTGAAAAATAATCCATCTAACTATGTTGATAGTATTAGTTAATCCAAATTTAATAGATTTTAAATTAAATTTAGATTGCTTAAAAGTGTATTTAGATACAGTGATAAGTGTAACGAGAAACAGAGTTATCAGTTTGGTAAGCGAAGGATATATGTATTTTAGTTTCCCTGGTAGAAGGCATTTTGAGATCTGGCAATATAAACACCGTGCTTTTTATAAGTCCACATGCAGGTCGATTAAGGTTATAACCTAAAGCCCTCAGAACTTTCCTCAAGGAGTGCAAAAATCTCTGTTCATTGAGTTAAAAAGAGCTGAAGGTGTTGGGTTTCTTTTAGCCATATATTTTCCCTGAAGTATGCCTTTGGGTATCTGGTTTGGAGTCAAGCAACGCATCTACTTAGTCAAATTTTGACTTAAGTAGCTATAATAGTAACGTGATGGCAATCTTTATATATATAAATACTGTATATGTATAAAGATATATATATATATAAAGTGTTTATGTGTATATTCGGTACAGGTAAATAAATGCACACATCCTTTTTAAGTCAGTGGCCACCTACGCTCAGATTCGGCCTGGAATGTCTTTTAGTCATTTGGCAAAACTAGTCATTGCACAGGTTAGTTTTAACCAAATTTAAAATGTCCTGGGCTGTGTGCATTTTTATTGACCTGTTGAAGAGAAGCTAATAGGTAAGTGTTGTCACCCAAGCTACCAAGGAAACTAGAGAAGTGACATACTGGTGAGCACTGCACCATCATTAGTGCAGCACGTGCATGTGGTGTTAGCTATAAGTTTGAGTCATTCTGGATGAAAGGAGAGAGAAAAGCTTTATTCCCTTACTCTGGCAAGGAATGTCCATGATTTCATTTGGTCTAATGGCATGATTTAAGAGGGAGAAAAGACGGTGTTCTAGCAACAGGTGATCATGGTTGTTTTAAAGTGAATCTGTAGTGCTGGCTGGCAAATTCTGCTCTGTGAGAGCCCTGTTATTTTGAAAGCCAAGACGAAGTCTGCAAAAAGTGAGAGGATGAATTCCGTACTTTTAGTTACTGCTGATGGTCGCACTGCATCTTTGTGTTAAAAATCAAGTGGTTGATTTTTTATTATTTTATATAGATGCCCAGATTTTTTGCTGGTAGCCTAAAAACCTACACTGACAGCAGCAGTGAAGCCCACCGAGCAATTACTGGGCCAACAGAAGGTGTAAGTGGACAGAAAAAGTGCCCCATCATAAATGGAGACAGTGTGTGTTTTGGGGGGAGGGGTGGGAGAGGGCAAGTCACAAACCACAGCTCTTCTCTGTGTATATGTTTAAACTGAATATCATCTTTTTGTGTATAGTTAAGTTCTCAGATTTGTAAGTTTTTATACATTATTTCATTGAATAAAAACTGAATTAAATGGGATATGATTTATTGAGTTGAAGGTGAAAGGTTGTTGGTTTTCGATCTTCCTGGATGAGCTCTTGCTGAAGTGGTTTAAAAGCCAAGTGAAGTATTCTGTTTATCATCCTACAGATGAACAAATAGCTTGCTAAAACTTAAAACGGTGGATTTAGCACGAAAAGTCACTACGTACTAGATTTTTTTCCAGTTTATTATAACATGACAACTATGATACAGGAAGTGATATTGATTATCTCCCTTGTATTAGAGTAATAGATTTTAAATCAATTGATTTTACTTCAAAGTATGGAAATGTTTTGAAGTAAAAAAAAATATAACATCTTACAGAGTTATTTTAGAGTTGCCCATTTTAAAACTTTTTTAAAATCTTCATCTACCCATATAAGTTCTTTAAAAACACTTTTTATTGCACCTTACTTAGTCTGAAATGCTCTCAGAATAGAAAACCAGAAGAATAAATCTTTCCTAATTCAGGTTAAGGTTGGCTTTTGAGTTGTCTGTGGTTTAGGGGCTAGTCACAAGTTCATTTCCAAAATGGCTGTAGCTGCTCAAGGTGCTGCCACCTCAGTTGTTAGTTACTGCTTAATCAGATGCGCTTTTTTTTTTTTTTCTCCTTCTTTTTTTTTGTTTTCCCTAGAGCTCCAGCTCTGCTCCATGGCACAGTACAACAGTTTAGCTCAGCTCCCCAGGTGGCTCGTTCTATTGGGGGTACATGTGGCTACACCATTTTTCGTGAGACATTCATCAGCCCGTTACCTTATTCCTGCTCTCACCAATCCTTGTCCACTGTTTGGAGGTCATTGCATTTGAATGGGTTCAAGTGAAAAACAACTAGTCCTAAAAAATGCTATTTTTCTGTCAAATATCTTCCCTATTTTAGCTCTGCTAAAGGTTTTGAGCAACTAATGGATTGTGCAAGGGCAGAGATGAACAGGGAAGAGGCTTACTGAAGCCAGTGTGGCTGCTGGCAACATCCAGGATGTAGAAGGTTGGAAGTGGTGACTCCCGCTTGGGCAGGTCCCTCATCTGGTGGGCAGTGTGGCCTTGCAGCCGTTGTACTGCCCAGAAAGAAGGATCAGGGTAGGGCAGGGAACAAGCAGCCAGGGAAATAGTTGTTTATGACAGTACTGCTGCAAGGAACGTGAATTTGCAGGCCCAGCAGAGATACTTTCAACCTGTTAATATTTATTCTTAAGAAATAACACTGTCGGGTAAAAAGAAAATTGCAATAAAGAGACTGTTTTAATATGTGTTCAGCTATGATAATGGTTTATTTTACATACCCTTTATTTTCTGATGCTCTATAGTGATGTTTAAGTCATTACCTTTCAACTGCTCAAGCACTTCCGTTCCTCTACAACGAATCAGGAACAGTGTATTCTGGTTATTAACATTTGCATCAAGAGTCTGTGTAATTACTGCACAATTACAGTTTTGTTGAAGCTTCTTTGTTAAAATGCTCTGTATTATTGTTATAGTCAGAGATAACTTCTTAGGGGGGTTATTTTTCAGCATTTGACTCGGAAATTTGTGACTGACTTGCTCATTACTCATTCAGTCTGCTCACCTGCTGAAGTTGTGAATTTTCTACCAAATGAAACCAGACAGCTTGGAAGGAATTGCTAGGAAATCTGGTGGAAATCTGCCATCATTCAAGGCTGTAGGCTTGAACTTCGGTCCCGTTTTTTTCCAAAGGAGTACCTTCAAAGGTAATTTCCTAGGCATGTCACTTGACATGCCTCTGCTTTGACTTCAGAAGTAGTTGACTTCAGAAGCACTTAGAATTGTGCTCCCGTTTACACTGCAGGGCCTTCGGTTGCTGTCTTGATGTTTAGAAAATCTGCTGGCTGGCTCTTTAGCTCCAAATTCCATAAAATAACAACCTCAGTCACAAAATGTGGTCAGTTGCAAGAGGAAAAAAAATAGATTTCTTTGCTTTAAATAACTTCTTTGACATTGCAAAAAATTTTACGTCATTAAAAGGAAACCTGGTTAGACAAGAGCAGGTGCCGTGGTGCCCGGTGGCATCACAATCCCTTGCAGTATTTTTTTCCAACCTGCTCAACAGCAGGATTGCCTTGTTTGGGTACTTTACCTTTTTGGAGAGTAATATAGTTCTGTAGATGTCTTCAACCCAAGCAGTTGAAGATCAAATTGATTCATTGTTAATGAAGTTAATTTCCCTTGATTGTATTTCCACACCTTTTAGTCTTTAAACACAAATAAGGGAAGAGTTAATTTTGGAATTCTGGCATTGACTCTCTTATTTAGTGCTTCCTAAAAGTCTACAAATGTTTTCATGTGGCAAGACACTTCATAGCTATGAAGTAAGGGAAACTGTCGGGCTTCTATCGAACCAGCCATTAAAAAGGACAGATATTGATGAAATTTAACCAAAACCACAAAACACACCTCCTTTGCAGTACAGCCTTGCTGCTATGGTATCTGTGTGTTTGAACAGGTCACGTGCCAAGATGCAGAGCTTGGAGCAGCTGTCAGTGAGTGTTGTCACTCCTTGCAGTGCCTGTGTTTTAGCCTTTGTGCCAAAGGAGCTGCCAGCAGGACTTCTTCAAATTCAGTCCATGCTGGTTGCCTGGGCCAAAACTTTCCTGGAACCTTAGGCAATCTACTCAGAGAAGAGAGAAGCAGAGCCACAAAAGGCACATTAACACAAAAGTTCACTTACTGTACCGCTCTGCAGAGTGTGGAGGAGGTACCCACCACTCCAGCATGCATCAGCACAGATCCAGAGACTGTCTCCAATCTGCTGACTATGTCAGGTCCCATTCTGAAGCAGCTCCCACACTTTCTAAGGGAACTTCCTGATAAATCTGTGTTGCCTTCTACACTGACCCTTAATCTCTCAACCACATGGTTAAAGCATTTTCTAGTTTGTTACTACCGTATTGTGTAATTCTAGCTTCAGCAGTGAATTATTTTATGGATTGCTGTGGTTCGTTTGGGTCTCTTAAATTCATAGGGCAATGTACTCTGTCAGTCAAGCTTTATTTCATGACCTTATTAGGTAAAAATCAAACCAGGGTTCAATCCCCTTTTGACACACCAGTCTGATCTTTCAATTCTCGAATGTTACTGCTTCAACAATTCACACGGTCATTAACTCAGAAAATTATCAACCCGCATCCTTAGGAGCAAGAGAGGGTGCTTATCTTTCCTTTCCATCGCGCTGCAGGTGTCCCCTCTATCACTCTGGGAACCACGAGAGCCTCAGTAGCCCGGCTTCTGCTGGACCTGCTGCCAAACGCTTTTGGGGTAAACATATTCTGCCTACCAGCTTGGAAACCTCATCTAACTACACTTTCCTCCCTGTGTCTTGTTGCAGTTTGCTCTGAAGACTTTCAGGCTTACCAGAAGCTACCGAACAGTTACTTTTTCAAGGCTGCAGACCCAGCAGACCTGATCCCTTCCTGGCCTCAGTACCGGCGGAGGCGCTGCTCTCCCTGTCAGGCCCTTGTTCCACAGCGCAGGCCGGGCCTTGGCAGGGCTGTGCCTTAGGGCAGCACTGAGCAGGAGCTAAACGAGCAGCCACTGTGGGTCCGGGCCCTACTTCTGTGGTTGCCTTGTCATTTCCTGACTTGATTCAGGCTGGCCCTGAATACAGCAGCTATCTAGAATGGAACCCGCGCTCTCCCCTCAGAGCCCTCTGAAGCCGCTCGTTATTCCCCATTAGTGGTCGCGCGTCCAGCGGTGGGTGCGCAGGGACAGCGCTAGATGGTGCAGTCACACCAGGGCAACCTCCCGGGCCTCCCACCTCGTTGTCCCCCCAGCCCTCCGCAGGGGCAGCCACTGCACACCCCAAAGAGCATCCCCACACCCAGGGACTGCCCTGGGAAGCCACAGAAAGGGGCAGGAGGGAGTCTGGCTGCCCTGTCTCGCAGCAAGCTTGCCTCAGAGAGCAGAGCCCTTAGCACGGTGGGCTGCAGAGCACTCAAACACACCAAGGCCCAAGTCTGCAGGGGCAGGTAGACCAGGGGGGGGACCTTTTCACATCATCACTGACTAGAAAATATGCATTTAATTTTTTTTTTAATTTTATATTCGATTATATATTTATTTTTATATATTACACTGTCACATCTGCCATTCAGGACTGACCAAGACCATTTCTTCCCAGAAGCAACTGACTTCAAATTGGGTCGATTTCACAATAAAATTGTTAGCCACTGCACATGCAGCCCTAGATGAGGACAAGTACAGGCTTTTCAGCAGCCCTGAATACGGACACTGGTTATAATCTTTCTTTTGATGTTAAATTGTCAGCATGAACTTCCCATCCCAGCAGGAGCAGGTGCAGGTCTTTCCTGGTTGTCCTACAAAAGAGTGAAGTCTGGAAACTGGGAAGGGCTACACACATGCACACACACACACGCGCACACACACACACACACACACACACACAGGGTCAGATCCTTCCACCTCAACAGCAGTACTTGAAGGATGTAAAGGAAAATAGTCACTCAAAACATGTGATTGCAGCTGATGAGGAAAGGAAAGTGATGCCACATCAGCACCACTCCAGTTGCTGGCACATAGTTCTCCACACACAGGAATGGACACAGAATATGGTCCTAATTGTTCAATCATCATCATCTTCACCATCATCATCTTACTCTTTGATATTGCATTCTTATGCAGATTTTTTTTTTTTTTATTTCATTTTGAGACATCTTTGGCAATATTGATAACAGAAAGAGACCCAGAACAGGTCCTAATTTGTCTACAAGAACTGAAAAAGAACATTCAGGGAAACTTCATTCTTGTTCACTGAGTTTATTAAAGTTGAAAATATTCATGCCCTTCTTACTCTTTTTCAATAAAGTGTAGTACGATACTAATTTTAAAAAAACATAACACAGGCATGACTTGAAGTATTTAAGTGTTGCATCACTCTCCTGTCGTACTGGAGGTGTCTCAGAGCGAAGGGCCACAATATCACCAATCTTGTCTGAGTTCTGTTTGCTGCAAGAGAAACAAAAGTAGAAAGCAGCAGAAGAAATCAGCTGAAATCTGGATCAGCTTTGATCTGCATGCAGAACTGTGCCATGCAGAGAGGAGAGCTAACGTGGTGAAACAGCAGCTCAAACTAAATGGGGAGAGTCTGAAAGACAACTGAAAAATTACTCAGGAAGCAGCCACCTAAACTGTGACCGTGCCTCTAAGGACACCACCTTTCCTGTTTGGGGGTGGGGTTTGGTTTTTTTTGGGGGGGGATTTTTTACATTATATTGTTTCCTCCTAAAAGAGTGGAAACATCCAAGGTACAGAAGTAACACAGAAGGATATAGAGGATTTTGACATTACAGAGGTTTCTGCAATAACTGTGCAAGGCAGGTATGTCACTTGGGCAGCTTTCAATGACAACAGTTTCAACCTAAATGATTCTATGTTTCTATGCAGTCCATGCCTCCATCTTACAGTAAGGGTGGAAGCAAGAACTTCTGCCTTTCAGTGTCTGTCACCAATGGAGTTGAGAACACATGGCTTCTGCTCTGACAGCCCAGGGGTAGCAGCACTCTGATGATAGTTTTCCTCTTAGGGCTGGTGCTTTCCCCTTGCTCCTGCCAGCAGGGCAAAAGAAAGTGCAGTCAGATGCAATGTAATTGCCCCAGAGAATGGGATCACCATCTTCAGTTCTCATTAGCTCGAAGGGGCAGAAATCTCTCAGCATGGGATTTGTATCTGTCTTAAAGAGAAGAGCATGCTAGGAATTTGGAAATGATGGCTGTATTGATGCTTTTTCCCCCCCTTCAGAAAGTATCACTGATAGATCCTCTTTCTCCTAAAGGAGCAGTTTTCTGCTCCAGAAAAGTCGCCCTCTAAAAATTAAAAGTTCTCAAGACCTGTATTTGTATCTCAGTACAAGTCCTTGGTAGACCCATGAGAAAGTCAGCTAGTGTTGCAACATCTTAGAAAACATTTTCCTGCTTCTGATACTACTGCAAGGGAGTGTGAGGTGATGGTTTACTCTATGTCTGGCCATGCTGGTGGTCTCCTCAAGAGTGCTTACAGCTGAGGTTTTGCACGGTGAGAGGAAAAAAGTGCAGCTGCTGCTGCCAGGAGGATTTATTTGCTCTGTCCTGTAGCTGCCAGTAGCGGTACTCCCTTGCAGTGCCACACCTCCGTGGTGACTCTTCCGTGAGAAATGAGCACATCTATTTCCTATTGCTGTCAAGGAACTCGATTAAACGTGGCTCTGAAAACTAGATACAAGTGCCAGTGGTACTTAACA